CTGTCAGCCAGCTCCACAGGCGGCCCCATCCAGGAAACACACAGCTATACATGTTCAGTAAAACTAGTCCATATCAAAACAGCTCACCACAGCCTTGGTAGTAGATCAATGTATCTATTTAGGTGAAATCACCTGTCAGCAGGCGAGGTTGAAGAAAAAAAACATTCTACTGTTGGTGTTCAACATACATTCATGTCAAATTTCAAGGTTCATGGGCGTGCAGGTGGCGCAGTGGTTAGCATGCACAACCGATGTACAGAGGCCTTAGTCCTAGACACCCTCGACGAACCCAACCCAGCTTCGAATCTGGCCTGTGGTCCTTTGCCCATGTCTCTTCCTCTCTCTTATACCCCTTTCCTGTCAGCCTACTATCAAAAAAATTTGTGACTAATGTCATAAAAACTAAAAAAAAAAAAAGTTTCAAGGTTCATTTTGAAAACCCTGAAGACAGAGGTGCAAAAAAGAAATGTGTGATACACTTAAAAGTTTGGGTACAACTCAACATGTTAAGTAGCCAACACACAATCAAGGACATATTTTGGAGCTGGTCATCAGCATAGATCTAAATATTTCTAATGTTTCTATAACCAATGTTGCTGTATCAGACCATTTTTCAGTTCACTTTGAAACCAAAGATGCCTGACGTATGACGAATCTGGCAAAAACGCTGGCATACGTTGGATAAGTTATGAGTACGTTTTGTATAAGGTATGAGCACGGTGAAGTATGCTGAAACACGCTGGAACACGTCAACATACTGCAAGTATCTATGCCAGCATATGCAAATATATGGGGCATAAGTTACAGCTAAGTTATCTAATCGTTGACATACGTTAGTTACTCACAAGTCGTGGCGTCTAGCTTATCCAAAATCCGGGTGCATTGCTGTCCGACTCAGGAGCAGCGATGTGCCTGAGGGGAGCAGCTTTAACTGATGCTTCATAATGCATATAAAATAATGCTAGTGCATCATTTCATGGGCATTACTCTGCTGTGCGTTATGCATTAGTTTGGCTGTCGTTGGATTTAAGTTCTGGACTCGTTATGAATACTCTATGTATACGCCCAAAATTGAAAAAAACATTGAGAGTTCAGTGTATTCCAGCGTTTTAGGAGATTCTGGGAGGTCGGGCATATGCTGGCTAAATCGGTAAGGTGTGACAGGGACCTAAGAAATTAGAACACATCAGCCTGGTTCTGCAGTCCTTCCACTTACTCCTGTAGCTCAGAGAATGGACTTTAAAATCTGTCTGTTAGTCTAGAAATCCCTGAATGGATCAGCATGTCAATACATAATATATCTGTTGTAAATCAAACTTCCAGACCACTCAGGTCTTCTAGTTTCAGCCTACTCTGTTCACCCAGAATTAGAACAAAACATGGAGAAGCAGCATTTAGTTCCTGTGCTTCACTGATCTGGAACAAACTCCCAGAAGACTGAAAAAGTGCTGAAAGCCTGAGTTCTTTGAAGTCAAAGTTAAAAACCATTTGTTTAGAGCTGCCTTTGATTTTTAAAGTCAAACTGTTAACAGGTATTATTAGATAAAGTTTGTGGTCCAACTGCTTTATTTGCTAGTTTTACTACCTTCTTTTATCTTCATTTGCTTTTATTCCGCTGTTATTTTTCTTGGGTTTTCTTGTTTAATTATTGTAAAGCAATTTGAATTGTACTTGTACTGAATTGTGCCATACAAATAAACTTGTAGAAGAACTTGTGTTTGCTGTTTGACATTATTATTATTATTTCTATTTCTAAATCTGCTCTCACCAACTCTCCTTCCTCCTCAAATTTCTCCCTAGACTTGTCTCTACTTGGGCATTTTTTCCGTGTCTCCCTGCACTGGAAAACTGCAGCCTGGGTCTAAGCAGCAGATAAATGTGTCCTGTGTTGCTGAAAGGCTTGGCACCTTGACCCAGACCCTGCTTATTGACATTAGTGACCGCAACCCATTAGACCAGCCTGATGGTATCCCATACAGACTGCTTGCTGAGGTCTGCAAACCAGGTGAGAGATAAGCATCCCAACATCTTATACCCTAACATCAAAGTCATTTACACTCATCTTTCTCATCTAAATGGGATGTTTTTCAGCTGGTAACATAATTTTGTATAAAATGGTCTCTGCAGCAGGCTTTCAAAAGCATCCATACAAAAACAAAGCCTTTTGAAAAAGATCTTTTTGCAGGAAAATAATTCATTATTAAATAGAAACTCTCTCCTAGCATTAAATTACAAGTTTTTTTAGATATTTTTTACAGAATGAAGGGAAGTATGATGATTTTAAATCATCACTAAAGTCATCAGCCAATTACAACTGAAGTCGGGTG